TTGGAAAGAGTTCGACAACCGCGCGCGGCCAACGCGCGAGCGTGGCCCGCAGGGTATTATTTGACGCAGATCGTGCTCCCCCAGCACGGGCGCACGGGCGCGCGAATGATGTCGGCATGCGGCGCGAGAGGCCCGCTGGGTAGAATTCGATGACCATGTTGAAAAACCTTTTGTTTCCCCCCGAATTCACAGGAGCGCGAGCGCACGCTTTTCAGAACCGTTTTTTCGGAAACTCCGTTTTGGCATCGTTGCGAAACCGAAGATTGTTGACTGATTTCGGCATGCGCGCGCGACGACGCGCGCGCACTTCTGTCATTTGTTGCGCGGGATTCCCGCGACGGCGCGCGCGCAAGGGCGCTCGAACGAGTTCGACACGCGCGCGCGAGACCCGCTTGGTAGCATGTCGTGAAGAGTTTTTTAAATCTATATATATAAAAAAACCTTCGGCGCCCCTAACAATTCGCAAGCACGCACGCTAGTTTGTATGTTGCAAACCCGCGTTGCGAGACCTTGTGTCTTTGTTTTGTGCTTCATTTTTTCCGTTGGCACGGATTTGCTGACAACTGCTGCTTTTTGATAAGCGAGGGCGCGCGTGTTGTATCTGTTGCAGAGGATGGCGGGAGGGGGAGTCTGACCCCCCTGGGGCGGTGCGAAGTCAACTTTAGGATGGGCGATGGGGCAGAATCGAATATACATTACAATGCGAAAAAGGGGGGTGATAATCCCGTGGGGGAGTTATTCTGCGGTGCAACCTTTGCAATGCAATCCACGCGGTGCAATCTAGGTGGTTCAATTAATTTTTGTTCGCAGTGGGTTGTCCACTCCACTGCTCGCGCAAACATCCCACCCACCCGCACGCAACTTGGTTTGCAACATCTCTTAAGACCGCGACGGTGGGTACCAAATGGCACTTGGCAGCGACAGCGACGCCGACGACGACAGCGACGACGACGACGACGCCGCCGACAACGACTACGATGACACCGACGACGTCTCCAACGACTTCGACGACGCCGACAACGACGACGACGACGACGACGACACCGACGACGACGACGACGACGGCGCCGACGCCGACGACGACGACGACGATGACAACGACGACGACGATGCCGACGACGACGACGACAACGACGACACCGACGACGACGACGTCAATGACGCCGACGACGACGATGACGACGACGACGGCAGCGACGACGACGCCGCCGACGTCGACGACGACGAAGACGACGACGCCGACGCCGACGACGACGACGATGACGACGACGACGTCGCCAACGAAGACAACGACGAGGGAGGAGGGATGACGACAACGGCGACAACGACGACAACGACGAGGGAGGAAGGAGGACGGCGACGACGCGAACGACGAAGAAAGAGGAAGGACGGCGACGCCGACGACGACAACGACGAGGGAGGAGGGAAGACGACGACGACGACGACAACGACGACGACGACGACGACGGCAACGGCGACGAAATAGGAGGGACGACGACGAGACGCCGACGGCGGACGACGACGACGGACGACAGAGGAGGAGGAGGAAGGACGACCACGGCGACAACGACGACGGAAACGACCACGACGCCAAAGAGGACGACGACGCGGGAGGTGGGAGGACGGCGACGACGACGACGACGACGACGCAAGAGCGCGCGCGCATGCTTTTGTTCAAAATCCGTGTTGCGAAACCCTGTGTTTTTGTAGGCTTCCTGGACGCACGATTTTGACACCCTTCGAAACCGATGGGTTTGGAAGGGTTCCGGCATACGCGCGGGACGACGCGCGCGTCTGCACTTCGTCTTATTCTGTGCAAAGGATTCTCGCGACGGCACACGCGCAAGGGCGTTCGGCAGATTTCGACATGCGCGCGCGCGAAGCCCGTTTGGTAGCATTTTGTGTAAATCTTGAAAAACTCATGGTTCTCTTAAGAGTTCGCAAGAGCTCGCGCGTCAGTTTCTTTTGCGCACCAGTGTTGCGAAACCCTGTGTTTTTGTATTGTTTTGGGAAGCTCGATTGCGAACTCCTTCCGACACCGAAGGTTTTTGAAGGATTTCGGCATGCGCGCGCGACGACGCGCGCGCATGCACTTCATCCCGGCTTTTGCAAGGGATTCGTGATCAAGTTTTATGTTAGAACAAAATATGCTCCCGCGTATTTTTTACAAAGGGACCCTCAGGGGGGCCGATACCCTGCCCCCCTGGGCTAGTGTCAGTTCGTATTTAGGATGGACATGTGGTCAGAATCGTATATGATTCACATACCCGAAAGGGGGGCGGATAACACCGGGGGGGGAGAGCTTTTCTCTTTTTAGAAAGAAGAATTTACGCGATGCAATCTGCGCGGCGCAATCGGCGCGGTGCAATTAATTTAATCGCTTCGCTCATTCTGCCGGCCCATAATGTCGCACCGTGGTCGCCTGTCCGAATGGGCGTTTGCAGTGTGGAGCTGCGGCGTCGGGAGCTGTGTAGTTGTCGATAAATTTGTTGTTGTTTTTTCATGGGGCTTCTAGGTGTTTGCAGTTTTTTGGCGGCTTTGGTGCCATCGCGGGGGCGTGTTACCCGTGGCATCCCGCTGTGGGGCCGTTCGAGCCGGGGGAAGAGACTTCCTGGGGATCTTGGGGGCTTCTTGGGTCATCTTGGAGACGTCTTGGACCGTGTGGAGGCCACCTTGGGCGTCGTGGAGCGATATTCGGGCGTCTCGGACCTCTCTTGCACCGTGTTGGGAGCTTTTGGTGCCCTATTGGGCCGTCCTGGAGGCCTTTGGGGCCGTCTTGGAGCCGTCTTGGGCCGTCTTGGGGCCCTCTTGGGGGCCTCTTGGGCCCTCTTGGGGCGATCTTGGAGGCCTCGTGAGCCGTGCAGGGGGCGTCGGGGAACCGAAAATGTTAAAACGCCCAAATCTGTCCAAAACCGAAGGAAAAAACACAGTTTTGTGCCTCTTGGGGCCCTCTTGGGAGTTCTCTTGGAGGCCTCTTGGGGCATCTTGGAGGCTTCTTGGGCCATCTTGGAGACCTCTTGGGCCGTCCGGAGGCCATCTTGGGCGTCGTGGAGCGATCGTCGGGCGTCTCGGACCTCTCTTGGACCGTGTTGGGGGCGTTTTTGGGGCCGTCTTGGGCCGTTTTGGAGGCCTCTGGGGCCGTCTTGGAGCCGGGGCCTTTTTGAGGGCCTCTTGGGGCGATCTTGGAGGCCGCTTGACCCGTTTAGGGGCGTCGGGGAACCGAAAAGGTTGAAACGCCCAAATCTGTCCAAAACCTGAGAAAAAAACATTGATTTTTGCCTCTTGGGGCCCTCTTGGGAGTGCTCCTGGAGGCTTCTTGGGGCATCTTGGAGGCTTGCTGGGTCATCTTGGAGACCTCTTGGGCCGTCTGGAGACCATCTTGGGCGCCGTGGAGCGATCTTCCGGCGTCTCGGACCTCTCTTGGATTGTGTTGGGGGCCTCTTGGGGCCCTCTTGGGGCGATCCTGGAGGATCTGGGGGAGTGTCCCGGGCGTGTCTCGGGCGTGTCCCGGGTTCCTCCCGGGGTGCTTTTGATCCAGGGACCCCAGGGACCGCCCCGCGCGCGCGAACCAGAAATATTGTTTACCAGTTACCAGAGATCTCAGCACGCTTCTGGCCCGTTGGGCCGGCGAATTTCTGTTCGCAGTGAGTTGCCCACGCCACTGCTCGCGCAAACATCCTGCCCACCCACCCGTAACTTGGTTTGCGAACCTCATGCGGCGGCGATTGCGATGAGAGTTTGGCTCTGGCTGGCGCATCTCTGCGGCCGCGCCGGCCCGCGCATGCTCGCGCACAGCTGCCAGGTAGTTGGGCGCGACCGACGCGGCCGCGGTGGTGCTGACCGCTCGGCGCATCCCAGCGGGCACTTGAGTCCGAGTCGGCGACTTGGACGGGCGCGGAATCATGGCAATGTCGACGTTAGACGTGATGGTGATAGTGGCAATGCTTGCGACAATGCTCACGACAGCACGGCCAGTGACGGCGCCGATGGTGATCGCGCCGGCGACGGTGCCGGCGTCTTCGCGTCGGCGATGAAGGTTTTGGAAGGATTTCGAAATGCGCGCGCGGCAGACGAGAGTGGCTCGCATGGTATTTTTGGACACGGACCGTGCCGCCCCAGCACGCGCGCAAGGGCGTTCGATTGATTTCGACATGCGTTCGCGCGAAGCCCGCCTGGTAGCATTTGCTGATCATGTTGTAATTGTGATTTTCGTAAGAATTCACAGGAGCGCGCGCACTGTTGTTGGAAACCAGCGTTGCGAATCCAGGTGTTTCCTTTTCTATAAAAAAAACTTGGACACTCGATGTTGGTATCCTTCCGAAAGGTTTTTCTTTTGTTTTGCAAAATTCTGGCATGCGCGTTCGACGACGCGCGCGCATTTCGTTTGGTCTTTTTGGCAGAGGATTCTGGCGACGTCGCGCGCGCGCAAGGGCGTTCGAACGGTTTCGACATGCGCCCGCGCGAAGCCCGTTTGGTAGCATCTTTTGTGAAAAATTGAAAACGCTATGGTTTTCTTAAAAACTCGCAAGAGGGATCGCGCGCGCGTTTATATATATATATACACATGCATACACACGCGTATGTATGTATGTATATATAAGATGTATGTGTATATAAGGTGTTGCGAAGCCATATGTTCTGGCACGCTTTGGGCGCAAGGTTTTAAAATCCTTCCTGGAGACAATGGTTTTTGAAGGATTCTGGCATGCGCGCGCGACGACGCGCGCGTGTGCACTTCGTCAAGTTTACGTTTGTTTGCAAGGGGCTCTTGCAAACTTATGATTTGTGAGAAACGAGTGCGCGCGCAATATGTTTTGCGGGGGGTGGCGGGAGAGGGCGATGCCAGCCTAGCAGGGATATTACGAATTCATAGGTAGGATGGACACTGGGTCAGAACCATGGTTGTGCGATGCACGGTCTTGCTATGAGTGTTTAGTCTGTTGCACCCCTGCAGTTATCACCCGTTTCCATAACTGCCTGGGCTCAAGCTTGAAGCGGGCATGCTTGCGCATTCTCCGACCACCGCGGCAGGAGCGATAGTCGCCTTCTGGGCCGGCTTTGCGGCCCACGGCTGGCTCGGGCCTGCGGTGGTTCCTGAGCCTGACTGGCCTCGTGGCGGGCCAGGGCACGAGCTGGAGGACCCCTCTACCAGCTCGTCCTTCACCAGCGTGACGCGGGAGCCGTGCCCCGCCTTCGACCCGCAGATCCATTGCCCGGCGCCACCGGCGCCACCAGCGCCCACTCCAGCGTCCCCTGAGGCGCTGCGCGTGGTGGGCGAGGGCGTGACCGCGACCGTCGAGGTCCCGGTGGTGCCGGCGAGCGCGATCGTCGTCGCGCTGCAGGCCTTCGTTGGCTGGGGCTGCTGCCGCTGGTGCGAGGGCCGGGCTGCGGCACGGCGCGGGCTTGAGCCCGTCGGAGAGGCGCGGATCCACGTGGCGTGATGGCGCTCGTCGACGGGGCCGTGCCTGGCATGCGGGTGCTGGTGCAGTATTCGTCGGATCCAGGCTGGACGCATGAGCGGATTCTGTGCTGGCCCACGGCTGCCGACCTCTCGGAGTGGATGGCGTACACTGCTGGCAACCATCTGTATCCTGAAGGGCGGGCCGACTACACCTCAGTGGTGAAGTGGACTGGCAAGCGGGTCTACCCGCCGGGCACGACCAATGTTGTCGCCTTCAGACGGCCCCTGACGAACGAGGAGCTTCTCAGCGTCGTCAAGCGGGGCCGCGGTGAGGCGATCGCGGACCACGGCAACGCGGCTGCCACCTGGGCCGGGACAGGCGTGACCTGGACCGGTCGCCGCCTCGCAGTGCCGGACGTGATGGCGGTCGACGCGCCGAGGGTCGAGCGGCGGCTGCGCGGCAAGCAGGCCCGCCCCGCCGAGGCCGAGGCGGCTGCGCCGCTCGCCGACGCCGACGGAGGCGCTGGCGCCCCCGGGCCGCGGCCGCCGCCGCCCGAGGAGCTGCCCCCAGGCACCTGGGTGCTAAGCTCGCTCGACGGCGGCGCCGACTTCGGGCTTGAGGTGAGGCTGTCGCCGAACGCCGTCGTCCGGGGCAGGTACGGGGTCGACCAGGACTCGCTGGGCGAGTGGTTCCCGATCGAGTACGTGACCGACGACGCGATGGAGCGGTGGCGCGAGGATAAGCTGGTGGCGGCCGACAAGCTCCGACCCGCCCGCGAGGCCTTAGAGGAGAGGCTCTTCCCTGGCCGCGAGGCCGGCGCTGGCGGGACCCGCACCCCTCCGCCAGAGCCAGAGGGCGGGGGGCTTGGCCCCGAGTGGGTCGCCACTCACGAGAAGGAGGACTTGCGCACTTGCTGGATCGATACCGACGAGACCGGGGCCAGGTTCAAGGAGTGGAGGAAGGTCGTGCAGGAGAGCACACAGGAGATCTTCTCGGACTCGAGCATCCGTGGGCCTCCCGCCTGCCTCGAGATTTGTCGTGAGATGTATCGCCACGGTGGCACGCCCAAGATGTGGTTTCAGGAGTGGTGCAAGGAGCAGGGCGTGACCAGGAAGGATCGCGCCTACCACGAGGTGCAGACCTTGATCGAGGTGCTGTACCTGGCGGGGACCTACGACCAGCTCAACATGGGCGCCCTGGCGTCGTTGGAGGTGGTCTCGCGGCGGCTGCTGCAGTACGTGGAGGCCTACGCGCACGGGGCCGAGAACGCGAACTGGGGCGCGGCGAAGCACCTGGGCGGCACGACCAACCCGCTCGACTTGGTGCCCGACGCGCTCCGCAGCTATGCCAGCCGACTGTCCAAGGAGGAGCAGGAGCTGGAGGCGCTGCGGATGCGGTCCCGCGTCCCCGGCGCTGCTCCAGCCGACGGCGCGGGCGCGGCAGCCGCGGCCGTTGTCTCTGGCGGCCTGCCCGCCGCTGGAGCTGCCGGCGGCGCCGCGGTCGGCGCTGAGGGAGCTGATGCGGCCGGCAGGGGCCGCGGTCGAGGCGGGCGGGGCCGTGGCCGCCGCCCGCCGGGCACGTGACGCCCGAGGCCGAGGGAGGCGAGTGCCCGACCGTCTCCCGCAGAACGAAGGGCAGCTCGGGGCTCCGTGGGTCGGCCTGCCTGCCCATAGCCCCGTTGGCGGCGCTCCCTGACGACTGGTGCGACGGCCTGACGCCTGGTCAGCGGCGCCGCTGGCTGCGAGATGGCAACGCAGCCTGCAAGAGCTTGAATTACTTGCACGGTGGTGAGCATCGCGGTGGCACGGCGCCCGAGGGGAGCGTTAGCCAGCGTAAGATGGATCTCATCAGGGCCGATGTGCAGCAGCGCGTCTTCTCGGCGGCTCGTCGCTGGATTGACGTTGACAGCGCCATCATAGAGAAGGAGGCTTTGGCCAAGCTTCTGAAGGGCAAGGCGGGTTACGCCCCTCTTGGCTCTACCAGCATGGGCTCCTACGAGTACTCGCGGGTCAGCTTGCCGGACAGCGTCCTGGACGCCCCCAGTCTGGCCCAGATGCTACCTGCGGAGGCGAGGATTTTTCTCGAGGAGTACTCCACCAAGATGCTGCTTCCCCCTCGTGAGGCGGCACTAATACGAGAGCTTCATGGACTTCCTGGTTGTCATACTGACCCTCTGCTGCTCCAACGTCCTCGGAGTTGCGCGAAGTTCGTGAGACGGGCGCTCAAGATCGGGCTCGTGACTTTGACCCGACGACCTTTGAGCGTTCTTGGACTGTTTTTTGTAAAAAAGAAGGATGGTGAGCGCCTGCGCCTCATCGTGGACTGTAGACGCAGCAATGCTCTTTTTCGTCCCCCGCCTGGTGTCGACTTGCTGTCAGGTGAAGGGCTTGGCCGCATCGAGGTGCCGGTGCTTAAGGAGGGGGACCTCAGCGAGCTGCGCGTTGTCCTGGGGGTCGGCGACGTCGCCGACTGCTTCCATCGGATGAAGCTGGACGGCGACATTCGGCGCTACTTCTGCTGGCCGCCGCTGTTAGCCTCTGCCACAGGCGAGACCCTCATCGAGGGTCAGGCGGCTGGCGACTCGGAGATGGTGTGGCCCATGAGTCAGAGCTTGCCGATGGGCTTCTCATGGTCGCTTTTCTTCGCGCAGGCGGCCAACCAGTCGCGGCTCGATCGGCAGCCGTCCTTGGCAAGGAGCTTGCGGCTCAGTGATCGAGGGCCGCCTCTTGTCCTTCGCCGCGGGCCACATAATGAGGACCTCGGCCACTTCATGTACGTCGATAACGCCGGCGTCCTTGGTTTGTCAGACACCGCCGTCCGCTCAGCCCTTTACGAGGCCCAGTCCGATTTTGATCGTGACCATCTCAAGTTTCATGAGGTTGAACTTCACGTGGGAGGTGGTCGTTCACTGGGCTGCCACCTGGATGGAGCAAGGCTCTGCACGCGGCCTACGGACGAGAGGTTCGCAGCCGTGCGGAAGGGCCTGCGATGTCTCCTCAGGCAGCGCAAGGTTGCCGGGTGGCAGCTTGAGATGGTGCTGGGCCACATGACGTTCATGGCCTTGGTACGGCGCGAGCTGCTGTCTATCTTTCACGCAGTGTACGCTTTCGTGACGAGCAGCTATCACACCTTTTCAGTCCTTTGGCCTACTGTTCGAGAGGAACTGGAGTGTTTCTTGGGATTGATGGTGATGCTCGAGGCTCGCTGGGACCGCGACTGGATGCCGTTCGTTTACTCGTCGGACGCCAGCCTCTACGGATACGGCGTCGCAGAGGCGGAGTTCGACTCTGCCCAGGTGGCTCTCGTCGGCCGCATCTCGGAGCTGAGTCGGTGGCGTTTGGGCGCTGGTCTGGCTCGTCAGCACGCCTTCGAGAGTGCCGGGTTTCTTCTGAACTCAGAGACGGGCGAGGTTGTCCGCGACGCCGAGGGGGCGCCGAGGCGGCTCGACTCCGAGCTGCTGGACATCCTCAACAGCGAGCGCTGGGAGTGCGACCCGGGGTTCCCCGAGGTCCCGCACGAGCTGCTTCACGATTCCCACTGGAAGACCGTGATGGCAGATCGCTGGGTCTTTGCTGACGATATTCTGAGGCTTGAGGCCAGAGCACTGGTGAAGGCTGCCTCTCGTGCGGCCCATTCTCAGCCAGTCAAAGACTGCCGCGTCCTCCTACTGGGGGACAATCTCTCGGTAGTGCTCTGTTTTTGTCGTTTCAGGTCCAGGGATTTTCGGCTGCTAATTCAGGTCCGACGTTTTGCTGCGCTCTGTCTGGCGAGAAACATCAGATTTGTTGTCCGATGGATACCAAGCGAGTTCAACTCTGGCGATGAAGGCAGTCGGAAGTTTGATCCAGAATATGACAGCACCAAGACCCTCGTATCCCATTTAGGCTCAAACCAGGCCTTGGGTCCCCTGCCCTCAGGCTCCTCGCGGCAGTGCGATGGAGGGGGCCCAGCCGGCCTCGCCGGGCCGCCAGCGGACGCTGCAGCGCGGCAGCCTGCCGCCGCAGGCGCCGGCCGCGGGCTCCCCGCAGGAGCCGGCGGCGAGTGCGCCTCGCAGGGTGCGCACCCTGAGCCCGGGGGCGAGCGCGAGCAGCTCTGCGGCGGCCCCGCCGGCGAGGCGAGCGCGTGTGCTGGACGCGTCCCAGGGCCTGGATGCGAGGCTCGTGGCTGCCGCCCCGCCGCACTGCCCGGCGCAGACGGACACCGTGGAGGCCTTCCTCGAGACGCCGGCGGGCAAGCTGACTCCAGCAAGCGCCGGCGTCCCCGCGGCGGCCGTGGACGCGGGCGCCTCACAGAGCTACGAGAGCAGCGACGTGGAGGAGCGGCGGCTGGTGACCGCCTCGCGCCGGAACCTCGAGCTTCGGGGCAAGGCTCGCGTCCGCAGGGCCATCCAGGCCCACGGCAGCGACATCTGGAGGCACGGCCACAACACGGGGCTGAGCTACTTGGAGAAGCGCTCGGTGGGGGCCAGGTCGCTGGAGACCTACCGAGAGTGCGCCCTCGCGTTCTGTGCCTGGGCAGGCTTCTTGCTGACAGCCATGCCCGCGTCGGCCGTGCTGGACGTGAAGTTGGTCGAGTACATGAACAAGCTCTTCCTCGAGGGGGTCAAGAGCTGGCGTGGAGAGAAGCTCATTGCTGCGATGATGTTCTTCCACCCGGACTATGGGAAGTCGGGTGGCCTCTACATGCCGCGTGCCCTTCGTACGCTCAGGGGCTGGAAGCGGCTCAGCCCATCAAGATCGCGGAAGCCCTTGGTGTTCGCGATATGGGCGGGCATCGCGGTCGAGATGGCCAGGCTGGGCGCTCCTCTCGCCGGGGTGATGGTGCTCATCATGGTGGAGTGCTATCTTCGACCCGGCGAGATGCTGGGGCTGACGTCGAACTCGTTCTTGCCGCCTTGCAGCCACGCCGTGGACAACTGGGTGCTGCTCCTCTTCCCGGAGAGCGGCACGGCGCGCAGCAAGACGGGGTCGTCGGACGACTCGATCCCGATCGATTCGGGAAGGATGGCCTGGATGCATCACATCTACCGGGCCCTTCGCGATCGAGGGTCGTCTCAGCCGCTGCTCGGCCTGACCTACCCGCAGTTCCTGGCGCTGTTCAGGCGGGCGGCTCACAACATCGGGGTCGACGCGGTGCCCTACCAGGGGAGACACTCCGGGGCAAGCTTGGACAGGGCCTCGAACCGCCGGACTCAGGAGGAGGTCCAGAAGCGCGGGCGCTGGGCCACACTCACCTCGGTCAAGCGCTACGAGAAGGCGGGCAGGCTGAACGAGTCGTGGGAAGGCCTGTCGGAGCTCACGAAGTCGTTCTGCGTGGCTGCTCTGAGGGTGCTGGAGGATGTCATCCTTCACGGCCGCCCCGCACCCGTTCCAGCATCCCAGCGCCCCACGGCTTGAGCGGGGCCGCCGCCTGCGCTGTGCTCAAGGCGCAGAAGGCTCCGTATCTCTTGGATCTCTTCGCCGGTGGTGGAGGGGTCGCCGCGTGGGCTCGCAAGCTGGGGATGCCTGCCATCAGCTTAGACCTTCGGCCGGGCGCTGATCAGGATGTGTGCAGTGCTGCTAACCTCCGCATCATCGCGGATCACTTTCGCCGTGGTCTCATTCGTGCTGTGATGATTGCGCCTCCGTGCGCGTCCTTCTCGCTGGCCCGGAACAGGTACCCCGTCAGGAGTGCCAAGTTTCCTCAGGGCCTACCACGATTGCGAGCCCATGATCGTGAAACAGTAAAGATTGGAAACTTATGTTTAGCTGTCGCAGTCTACATCATTCGGTTGTGTGTTCAATTCAAGATCCCTTATGCTATGGAGAATCCAATGGGCTCGTACTTGTGGCGGCAAGCTAATGTGGCTGCTCATGTTCTTCCGCGCTCGTGGGCTCTAGACCTGAATCAGTGCGCTTTCGGTGCTCATTGGAGAAAATCCACGCGGATCGTCATCGGCTGCCCCACCGAGTCCGGTAACCTGGCTATCAATTTCCCGGATCGCCTCAGATGCCACGGGAAGCATGGTTTCTGCTCGTTCCGTCCTGGTCATAAACATTTGATTTTGGAGGGTAAAGCGATGACCTCGAGGGCCGCCCAATATCCTTATCGTCTGGCAAAGTTCCTCGCTAAGATTCTACTCGACCTGTAATATGTGCAGTGCTGCGTTTTCGTTGCTTCGAGGTTTTCTCGCACTACATCAAGGTTGACGCCTTCCCGCACCTCCGTACGGCAATGGTCTGGGTACCGCTGCGCTGAGAACTTCGACTATGCCAAAGGGTTTGGATTTTTATATTCTGGCTTCTGTCTTGCACGTCTGACGGCTCTCGAGAACCTTGGCGGAATCCATTCGGTATCAGATTGCACCGCCGAAAAACAATCACTAGCATGGTTGTGCGATGCACGGTCTTGCTATGAGTGTTTAGTCTGTTGCACCCCTGCAGTTATCACCCGTTTCCATAACTGCCTGGGCTCAAGCTTGCCCGCCCTCGGCCACCCTGGACCTGTGTACATAGTGCACAAACAATTTTCACCTCCTTCTATCCCCTAACGGGGAGCGGATTTTTATATTCTGGCTTCTGTCTTGCACGTCTGACGGCTCTCGAGAACCTTGGCGGAATCCATTCGGTATCAGATTGCACCACCGAAAAACAATCACTAGCAAATGTAAATTGCAATGCGAAAAGGTGAGTCTTTAACCCAAGGGGGGGAGGATGGTAGAACCTGTTTTTTTTTTCCTGAAAGGAGAACCTACGCGGTGCAATCTATGTGGCGCAGTCCGCCAGTGCTCAACTTGAAGTGCTCGCGCAAACATCCCACCCGCCCACCCGCAAGTCGGTTTGCAAAAAGAGAGCCCCACAACGAAGGTTTTTGCATTCGTTGCGGGGCGGGGGGTCGTCCTTGCGAGGCGGGGGGCGGCTCCGGAGGCCTCCGCGATTTTCCAGGAGTCTCCAGGGGGGCCCTGGGGGCCTCCTCCACAAATAGATGTCTTCTTTGGGGGAGGGGGGGGGGAGTGCCCTGAGAGCCTCCACAACTGGATTTCTTTTGTATGTGGGGGGGTGGGGCGGAGTTTCGATTCCTTCAAGATGAGAGCGAAGCAACCACGGTTGCAACGTTGGTGCCGCAGAGATTTTCTCAGTGCGTGATCTGGAAGGGTCACCAAGTCGACGTGGGGATGACGCTACTCAACGTTACGTTTGATCTGCAAGATCAAGAGCGCGCGCTTGAATTTGGCGGGCAACATTATGGCTTGTCTTACGAGATGCACCTCGCGTGGCAAGAACTGTCGTTTGCTTGAAGTTGGCACGATGACGTCAACGTCTGTTTCCGCTGTAGTTATTGCATCCTCAAGGTAGCTGCTAGCTACCGCGCGTTTAGATGGCACCTCCCATCATCGAACCTGCTATCTTGCAATGAGCGACATGGTCTTTTTGTCACCTACCGCACGCCGCGTGCCTTTTTTTTACCGTGACCTGGCGTTCGCTAGCGGTGTCTGCGTGCCACCGGGCGATATTTTGGCACAGCAATGCAGACCGTAGCGCAGCGCGTCGCAGCATCGCATAGAAAATGTTCACCCGATCGTCAAACGATCGCCCCAGCCATTCGTTGCACATGATCCTATCCGTCTCCGTGCATCCCTTTCTTCGTGCTCTAGATACAGGTGAACTCCCACGCATGGGGCGCATTAGCATGGCACTGCGCGTGCCGGCGTAGTGATCGAGTCGCGCGCAACACGTGCGCGCATCTATATGTCCGCTGGATTTTCTCAAGCAGCCCCAGGATTACACATTCCTTCCATTGTCTTCACTCAAGGGCGGGGGGCATCGCAGTGTCTCCAGCAATGGCTGCGCGCGTGGACACGATCCAGGATCTTCTTGACGCTTTGCCAGAACATCCGCCAGCAGCCTCGAAGACGACGCGGAGTGCCTTTGGCGATGCGTTGGCGAAGGACATCACCCTGGGCCAAATCTTCAGACGGCGTCCGCTCCTCCGCCGCGAGGTAAAGCGGCGGGGGGGCATTGCGAAGATTTGGCGAGAGATGCATCCGACCGCGGCGGCCGTCTCCGACGCCAGAGTTGTGCAGCATGCGCGCGATCAGCGCGCACGCAACCCAGGAGTTGCTCAACATGCCCATCATGGGCGCGTCGGCTTTGTCCAGAATGCCCAGTGCCAGAATCAACCGTGCCAGCGCGCGCAGATCTACTGGCCGAGGTTGCTTCCTGTGTTCGAAAAGACAAACCCGCGTGCTCACTATTACAGCACGCCGTTGGCCCCGCATAATCAGCACGCTTACAGTCGCGCCCAGGCCGGGCGCCTCGGCCCCCTTCTTCCTCTTCGAGCTCGAGTGCCGGGTCGAGCGCCTCCTCGCCGACGGCCATCCCCGGCACCGCGCGCGCTGCTTCTGAGCGCGGCCCCGGGCGGAGCAGTGGCGACTTCTCGCCGCAGGCCGTCGCAGGCATCGCGCGACCTGCCTCTGCGGGCGGCCCCGAGCGGAGCAGGCGGTTGCCAACCCCCCCGCCGCCTCCGCGCGGTGTTCCGACACCGCCGGCGCCCCCGCGTCGCCCGCGCTCCGCGGTGGATGATAGGGACCTGTAACTATAATTCTTTGCTTCATGGTGTCTGATTGTCACCGCTCGCACTTGAGTTTATGATGACTGATTGTCATTGTTAGGCGGTTGACGTAGCGTATACTTTCCGAACGTGCCGCGCACGATGTCTTATCGTCAGCTCACCTTGAAGTCCCGTGGCGCCCTTGAAAATCGAAACAGCGTTAGATAGAATATTCGCCACGCAACCATGCTCAAATATTCAGTATATCAACGTCATCTGGAGGGGCCTATCGCCCGTGCATAAGTTCCGACACTCTTCTGTGATATATCTAGGTTCAGACTGCCTACTATGACTCTGGTTGAAACTGACAGCGCTATCCATCATATACTAGGCTTCGAAGTCGTCGCATTACTTATCCTATGGTCGATGACGTGCTCTAGCTACACCTGAGTACATTGCACGGGATATACGAATACGGGGACGACGAAGACTAAGATGGCTTGATGAAAATTGTTCACTGCGTGGAGCTCCTCATATGTGCATCTACTCGCATGGACCTGTCCGCCGTGAATGTCTAGGCGCAAGAGCTTTCGAATATTAACGGGCTTCAGTTGTGACGGTCTGGACATCAATTTAACTGCGAATGAATTGGAGTGTGAATGAGCCTCAGTAGTGCGAGCGCGTCTCTGTGCATGAGCCTGGGGCCTCCTGGGGCCTCCTGAACCTACTGGGGCTTCCTGGGGTCTCCAGGAGCCTCTTGGGACCTCCTGGGACCTCCTAGGAAGGTTTCGTGCCCCAGGAGAGGCGCAATCTATAGCAACAGACGTACATAAAACATTGCGGATTAGAGCCACAGGAGAAGGGCAATCTATAGGAACACGCGTAAAACACCAAGGACTCGTGCCCCAGGAGAGGCCCAATACATAGGAACATGAGTAAAACATTTAGGATTGTGTACACAGGAGAAGGACCATCTATAGAAACATACGTAGAACATCAAAGAATCGTGCTCCAGGTGAGGCCCAATCGATAGGAGCATACGTAAAACACATGGGATTGGAGCCACTCCTGTTGCCTTCTGAGGCCTCCTGCTCCTGGGGCCTCTCGGGGCCTCCTGTTGCCTTCCGAGGCCTCCTGGCACTTCCTGTTGCCTCCTGGGGCCTCCTGTGGTTTCCTGGAGGCCTTCTGGAGCTTCCTGGGGCCTCCTGGAGCCTCTTGGGACATCCTGTGGCCTCTTGAGTCTTTCTGTGGCCTCCTGATGCCTCCTGGGACCTCGTGTGGTCTCCTGGGGCCTCCTGGAGCCTGTTGGAGCCTCCTGTGGCATCCTGAGAAAAATCTGCGCACACGAGCCTGGCCACCCACAACAAGCAAACCGATCGAGACATCCTCATCAAAATCTGGCCCACCTGGGGGGTGAAAATGAGCGCCTCCGAGACATCCTCCAAATCTGCTCCGACAAGCGAAGGATGTCGAGCCCAGAAACAAGCAAACCGCCTGAGACATCCCCACAAAATGGCCGCGAACGAGCCCGTGCAACCACCCCTGGCGGCTCCCCTTAGGGGTGCTGAAACCAGCGCCCCGCCTGAGACATCCTCACAATCTGCTCTCCAAGCGAAGGATGTTGAGCCCAGAAACAAGCAAACCGCCTGAGACATCCCCACAAAATGGCCGCGAACGAGCCCGTGCAACCACCCCTGGCGGCTCCCCTTAGGGGTGCTGAAACCAGCGCCCCGCCTGAGACATCCTCACAATCTGCTCTCCAAGCGAAGGATGTTGAGCCCAGAAACAAGCAAACCGCCTGAGACATCCCCACAAAATGGCCGCGAACGAGCCCGTGCAACCACCCCTGGCGGCTCCCCTTAGGGGTGCTGAAACCAGCGCCCCGCCTGAGACATCCTCCAAATCTGATGTGTGTTGAGTAAGTCTGAGTATGAGTAGGTCTGAGTATGAGTATGCCTGAGTATGAGTAAGTCTGTGTATGAGTAAGTCTGTGTATGAGTAAGTCTGGGTATGAGTAGGTCTGTGTATGAGAAAGTCTGTGTATGTGTACGTCTGGGTATGAGTAAGTCTGAGTATGAGTAATACTGTGTATGAGTAAGTCTGGTATGAGTAAGTCTGTGTATGAGTACGTCTGGGTGTGAGTAAGTCTGTGTATGAGTAAGTCTGTGTATGAGTATGTCTGAGTGTGAGTAAGTCT